GGTTGCGTGTTTGTGGTTGCGTGTTTGTGGTTGTGTGTTTGTGGTTGTGTTTGTGGTTGTGTGTTTGTGATTGTGTGTTTGTGTGTGTGGTTGCGTGTTTGTGTTTGTGGTTGCGTGTTTGTGTTTGTGGTTGTGTGTTTGTGTTTGTGTTTGTTGTTGTGTTTGTGGTTGTGTGTTTGTGGTTGTGTGTTTGTGGTTGTGTGTTTGTCGTAGTGTGTTTGTGGTAGTGTGTTTGTGTTTGTGGTTGTGTGGTTGTGGTTGTGTGTTTGTGGTTGTGTTTGTGATTGTGTTTGTGGTTGTGTGTTTGTGATTGTGTTTGTGGTTGTGTGTTTGTGATTGTGGTTGTGGTTGTGTGCTGTGGTCGAGGTCCGGCAGGGAACACTTGGGCCTGGAGCTCGCTGTTGAGGTCCGGCAGGGAACACTGGGCGCGGATGATCGTGGTCGAGGTCCGGCAGGGAACACTTGGGTCTGGAGCTCGCGGTTGAGGTCCGGCAGGGAACACTGGGCGCGGATGGTCGTGGTTGAGGTCCGGCAGGGAACGCTGGGCGTGGATGGTCGTGACGTGGTTGAGGTCGGGCAAGAAAAGAATACTGGGCGTGGGTGATCGTGGTTGGTGTCCGGCAGGGAACACTGGGCGTGGATGGTCGTGGTTGAGGTCCGGCAGGGAACGCTGGGCGTGGATGGTCGTGGTTGAGGTCGGGCAAAACAGAATACTGGGCGTGGATGATTGTGGTTGGTGTCCGGCAGGGAACACTGGGCGTGGATGGTCGTGGTTGAGGTCCGGCAGGGAACACTGGGCGTGGATGCCTCCAACCTACTAGCGGTGGCCTCCAACCTACTAGCGATGGCCTCCTAATCGTGGTGTGGTGCTCTTCCTTGCCTTTGCTTCTGGAAGCGACTGTGAATGCAAGGTGGGGAAACGCAACTCCCTTGCCTAATTTGCTTCCAAATCTCTCTTGTCGGCACACAAGCCTGCAAGTCATACAGCCGCCAGAGTCTGAAAGCCTCACTCGGCCAAGTCCACGAGCAAATGTACCGGCGAGCCTTCACCAACCCCGAAATTTGTGGCACAGGCTTTTGGTATGAGTCAGTGGATCTTGAGTTGATCCTGATCCTCCCTTCACAGGCTTTGATCTCTGGACTCCATTCATCGTCCATAAGGTGGAAGATGAAGTGGAGGATGGTGAGGTTGCAGTGAAAGATCTGGAGAGTTTCTGGGCGAAATTGAGCTGACAAATGTGGGAGATGGAGATTGTAAGACTAGTGGCCCATGGCGCATGGATGATCATGGATGGACACCTGGGGTCGATTAGAATGCCTTTACTTCATGAAGAACCACAGAGGGGAAATGAGGGATGGAACATGATGGAGCTACGGTTTGGGATTGCTTGACGCAGGTGGCAACACCGCTGTAAAAACCATAGTAATGTAGACTTTTGATTGGTATGCCCCCCCTTGGGAAGAGGTTGTTCAATTGAATTGGGGTGGGTATTATATTATTGTGGGTGGTCATTCTGCATAGCGTATTTTGCAGTTTGGGTTGAAATGGCATGCTCCCGAAAGCAGGCCTTTGCAGGTGTGGAGAGTGGAGACCTGTTTTGTCTACATTCTACATCAGGGCAAGTTAAAACTTTAGAACTTTAGAACCGTCTCCCCAGCACAATGCCACACATGTCCCTTACCAAGATTCTTGGATACAGCATACTTAAGCCTCTTTGCAAGTTCTGATTTATGAAGACTTGTTTGCGGCCGCCACTCGCAGAAGTAGATAGATCAGGGGTATCATAAGTCGGTCATGGCCCTTGCAGCTGCAGACAATGCAAACGGCGTAGAGGTCTGCTCCTGGCTAGGCCGCTAGGCTTACAGAAGCCAGCGTGTAGAGTGTGAAACCAGGGCGGTCTTTCCATCTCCAGACCCATGTTCTTTGCCTTTGAGGCCTTCATTTTCAGGGGTTTCGGCGTTTCGCTGCAGGTTCCGTGCACTTCGACGAGAGTGCGTGGACCTATCCAATTGTCCTGGGACTGATGGACATCCGAACGCTGGATGTGATCTTCTCCCTGCTGCTGCTCTTGCTGAACTTTGGTGGCCTGGTGTAAAGCCTGGGTGGGCTGGATTCCAGGTTTGCTCTTTCTAGACCGGGGACGTGTGTTATACGGTGTTAAATTATATACAACGTGATCTATTCATTGCTTTGAGCCAACTACAGCCGGGCTGAAGTACCAGGCACCTCAAGGCCGCGTCCAAAACTGAGGGGTTCCCGGGTGGGTGTAACAGTGTAACGAGTGAGAAAGCCTCATTTTAGCTCATTTGTGATTCTGCGTGAGAACAGTCTGAGTTTGCACTTCTCATTGGGTCAGGTATGCAGGTGATGTTTTCGATCATCATCGTCACCCCAGATTTCATGGGCGAGGACTTTGTGAATAAGATCACTGTGGCACGGATCCTTGACCAACTTGGCATCACGAAGCCGCACATCGCTTTCGTTTGTGAGATGGGAGAGGATTAATCACAGTCACTGATCTGATCCGAAGCGGGTTTTCTTTGAGTGGATGTTCTCCCAGTTGCGTGACACTTGAGGCCCAACTGACTGTACACCTTTGCAACTGCCCCTTTTGAACAGCCTGAATGTTGAGCGCCTCCGGTGTTTGACCTTTTGCTGCTGAATTTGCTCGCTAGATAGCTCACCCGCAGAGGCAGTGGCGCACCAGCTTCGCCCATGACTACCGGCCACTTGGCGGATGGCCCGCGTGGCTTGGGCAGGGACAAGCCCAAGGAGATGCCAGGGTCAGGCTCCTTGGGTTCGTTCTGTCCCAAACCTTTTGCCCCAAAAGAGGCTGAAACTGGAACCACGTCATGCATCGGAACCTGCGCTTGGGCTGTGTGGCAGCTCCATTTCTTTTAGGATTCCAGTGACTGGTTACCTTGCCCTTCTGGTGCCTGGAGGCCTGCAAGGTTCTTTTGTATTCTTATTGTACGGGCCTAGGACACATCTCATCCAACTTCTTGCAAAATGAGAGCACCCTAAGATTTTTTACTTGGGCTGATGCAGACGAGACATCATTTTTAGTTCAAGGTGGACAAGTTCGCTTGCCTAAAGAATGCATTACCAATTCTTGTGAAATATCGTCCCAGCCAGGGCCAACGAGAGGGATTTTGATACCGGGAGAATCGGAAAATCTTGCCAATGCATACCATTATATGATTGTTGAGCAGCCTCAACTTGGAAATGACAAATTATGCATTGTTCATTCCAAGCATCATTGGATACTTCATTGGTAATAAGGGTCTATGAGCTGCTTCTTTTTTAGGTTGACCACTTCATTTGTGTTATCATTCTATGTTTTAGAGCGTGGTTTGTTTTAGGGTTTGATACCAACCTCTACGGGATTGCGAGCTTCCTGAACCAGGCATGTGGACCTGTCTGCCACCAGCCTGGTGACGCGTGTTTGCGCGGGCGATGGCTCCTTGATCCTGGCGACGACCCAGGCCCACGGCGGACCACGCGAGGTGTGGGGATGCGTCGCCAGGCCGCTTCTCATGTCACATGAGGGTTTCCTGCGTGCCCGTGCCGTGCCCGTGTGCGTGGGTGCGTTCCGTGCTGCGTGCGGTGCCCGTGTAAAGGAAAGATGAGATATTATATATTGAAAGCTGTTCAGTGGTGAGATTTTTGTGGGTCTTGCAACTCGTCTTGTATACTGGCGTAAGCACTCAAACTGAGAAGAGCAATATACAAAGTGTTTGTGCCAATGTAGCGTGTCTGCGTGCTTCCTTAAGTGGTTGGTACATCGGGCCCCCATCGAACCATGGAGGTTGACTAGAAAATGGGACGCAGTGGGCATGCTTGTGCTGGTCTTTTGTCATGCCAGAATGCCAGGTCTCTATTCCTCCAGGTCTCTATTTCTCTGTTCCTCCAGACCCTCCAAGTTGGAAAGACATGTGCTAAGGCCAGTAGGCATGACATTTGAAGAACCTTGAGCCACAGCGCTTGTGCCCTGCAGGCGACCTTGATCACACACATCAATAGCTACATGAGCCTGGACAAGGATCAGTTTGATGCTGGCTTCTTCCCGATTGGGATCCTGCTATGCATGCTGTGTATCCTTCTTTGGGCTTTGTGCGTCTACAAGGACGCTGGTCAGCTTGTCACCACTGATGATACCACATGACGCCCAGATTGTCCAGTGGTTCCGCCGGCATGTATAAAGCATGAGGCGCACCCTCACACTTGTCCTGCTTGTAAGAAATGTAACGATGAGAAGGGAACTTCAATCTACTGGAAGAGGCGATAGGAAAGACGGCACGTCCCACCTTTTTCAGCAGGATCATGTATTATGGTATACGCTTTTCCAATCTGCTCACCAGGCATCACTCCCTTACCCCCTGCTGCAGCTGCTTCTCTCCCACCTCGTGGCTCTACCGCTCGGCTCGGCCGTTCCGGGACCGCCGCCCGAGGAGCTTCGGAACACGTGGCAGTCCCTGGAGGCCGTGGCCCAGCTGCCGCGAAACCAGCTGACGGTCATTCGAGACGCTTGGGTCACGTCCAGATTGGAGGTGCCAATGGTGGGGGTGTCAATGGTGCAACACGTCGTTACGCTTCATAGGTAATTACAGTTACTGTTTGAAAAAAAGTAAATTCTGCTCAGTGGGGGCACAGGGCACACCCTTGCTCCAAGGACGGCCACATTTGCAGCATCTCTCACGGTCGCTTAATGGCGATCATCGCCACCTACTTCACGCGCTTCGCCATCGCCCTGGCACCTAGAACTTCGTTTAGGGTGTCCAGCGGGCGCACCAAATGGGCCACTGAAAGCCTGGGGAATGTTTTTCATTCTCTCCCATGGTCTTAGATTCTTAGTTCGTTCATATACTACGCCGTCCCCCCTTCCTGCAGATTGAGACACACGCCTCCATAAACGGCATAGATTTGGCCCTATCAGCCTATCAGCCAACTGGGGAGGTGACAATGCTCGCGTTCTCACCTCAGGTGCTTCTGATAGCTGGAGTTCACTGGCTGGCACGGACCACGTCAATAGCAGAGTCTTGGTGGTCAGTCTACCAATTCCAAACATACCTGACATCGTGCTCACGTCCGTGAGCGTGAGGAGTTAAACATGACGTTTGCATGTACTGTACCTGCTTAGGTTCTGGCACTTCTGCCTCAGATCTGACCCAAGCATGTTGCTGCAGTGTTGCCTTCTACATATTGTAGGCGTTAAGAGTTCAGCCATGCGATCGTGGGTCCGGTGATTGTGCCTGGCAGTGTTCAGATTTTGAGATGTTCCAGGTAAATGCCTCATCAGTGGTCAGAATTGATCAGACTTGGGCCATTGAATGCGGCCAGTTCGAGGATTTGATGCTGAATGCAGTGGCCTTGAATGCGATTCTCGATGTGGATGAGCGCCCCATCGGCATTGGAACAGGCTTTTGATCATAGCCGAATAGTACAGAGTATAGAGCCTGCACATCTGTGACCCGGTTCAATACTCAAATCAGACCCAGTTTGCAGAGGAAAGATCAGGAAGGCGCCAGGTTCTCCTTCTTCGGTTTCTTGATTTACTGCAAATACGTTTTCAGCACTCTGGGCCTGCAAGTGCTGCGCAAGTCCAAGGTTCCTGTTTGCCGGATTCTCACCTATGTCCGTGCAGGTCGGCTTTTCTTTGCGTTTTCGAAGGGTGAGTGCAGCATAGTGCAGCTTTGGTCAATCAGTTGGAGTAAGACCGGGAGCACTCGTTCATCGGTGGGCATTGGGTGGGGTCCCACACCTCCGGGACGGTCCTTTTAGGCCCCGAAACTGGTAATGTACACTCCCCCAATTGAATTGGACATCCCCTTCATTGAATTGGTGGATTGGGCGAGCCGCGGCTTTGAGTTGACATGTTTCGGTTCATCGGCCAGGTGGCGATTCGGACTCTGGAGCCTTTGAAAGTGCGCTGCACCTCACGGCGGAGTCAGAGCGAATCGGTCCTCTGGGCCGGAGTGGCGAATCGCTCCGAGTCGGGAGTCGGAGGTAGAGGGAGACATGGCCCCGGCTGTTGACTCATTGAGGGTGCATCTGACATGCAAGATGCATGTTCCATAAGTTCCATAATCATGATACTTGATGATACTTGTACGTCACAGTACATCAACTCTGTGGGTCAACAGATCTGTAAACTTGTAAAACCAACCACATCAGCCACGTAAAGCTCCAACAACCTCGTTTCTACATAAAATATATACAACCCTTTTCCCACTACGGATCCCAAGTGGTCAGCACCCACCACTGGCAGAAGACCTGCCGCAACATGGTCTTGCCGCGAAAGCTTCTGAGGTGGCATTGTTGATGCTCTTGGCGGGCACCTTGTTGCTGCCCTACTTTGGGCTCCTCCAACCTTTGGGGGAGACCATGCTCATGGTGAAGAAGGAGCTCTGCGGCGGCAACCAAACCTTCGTGGTGGGGCAGATTCTCTCTTGCCCTGAAGGGAGGGTTGTGGGCTGTGGGCCGCAAGGGCCAAGTGGGGAAGCATGGGAACACATGCACCATCTAGCAGAACCTGGCATGCATCACGGGTTGGGGTGGGGTTCATAGTGCTGTGCTGTGCACCGGAGACAGGCAGGCAGACGCAGGTGCACGACAAGTGTTCACGAGGAACTCTGATACGCAGATGATCCTCGGCTATGTGACGGCGGGCGAGCGGAACCAGGAGCCAAGCCCATTGGAATTGGCTGTGAGCGTGCACAAGTTCCAAGATCCTGTGGAGCTTCCGCCACCTGGGTGGAACATGGTGGAATTGGGGGAGGTGAGGGTCACCACATGTTTGGGGCATGACTCAAGAAACCAGAAATGCCATGTCTGCAAGAATGGCTCAAGTGTTGGGAGTGCGGGTGAAAGCTGGGTTGAACAGGTCAAAATTGCCACAGAAGGACTTAACATTGGTGATTCATGTGCATGGTGTACATGTTACATGTTCTATGCTGTTTGGGCCCACGCATGTTCAAAAAGTGAGTGAGACGAAACCGAGACGGAACATCAAGAAAATCAACCGGAGATAAAGAAACATGGCCCAAGAATGGATGCGTTTCACAAGATACAGTAATTCACAATGTCAGTGCGCGCCTGCACACGCATGGAGATGCCGACCAAGAGTCAAGAAATTGTTCAGAAATTGATATGTAAACAGTTCGCAGTCACTACTCATGCAGTTTTGACGGTCGCTTCTACTGTGAGCTTGCATAGCAACATAGCATCAACTTTCTACTGCGCTTCGCCTAGAGCAGTGGCCTCCTCAGCGTCTCCTCAGGCAATATATCCATTTCGTGGCCTCGCCCGATTTCGATACTGCGAGTGGCTTGATGAGACGACGGGTCCGTCGACGACACGGCGTGACACGGCGACCCCGATTTTGGGCGATGTGAGTGTAAAAGGCAAGGCTTCAGGGAGACATGGTTGACTAGTAGTAACAAGCTACTAGTAGTTACTAGTAGCGATGCCCTTTTTAATAGTCCTCACAGATCTCAGAAAGAAATAACACACTTGGATAGTAGTGAGTAGTGGCGGTTGTAGTTTTTGTCGGTATCGGAGTGGCTTTGAATTGGTGATTATTGTGGTGGTTGTGTAGTTGTTTTTGGCTTGGCGTGGGTAAAACACAGACCGAGCGGTGCGGATCCAGGAACACGGACCATGTTGGCGGAAACCTTGGAGTTCAATCTCTGCATTGAGCCTGCAATCCTGCGACCGGGTGGGGCCTTCTACCAAGATCCAGTGCCTAGGCTGCCTGCACCGGCTTGTGGTGAGATCCTTGCACAGCTTTGCTTTGTGTTCTCTGGGATGGCTAGTGTAATCTGGCGGACGAAAATGGCAGCAAGCCAAGGCATTCCGCTGACCGCTGAATGAATGGACAACTAGATGCATTACCCATGCCAATTGGGTCGAGAGACTATGGTCTTCCACCCCAGTTCTTCTCCTCCCTCACCATTCGGAGAAAACAGATCCAGACAGCCCAGCCCAGTCGCCCACGAACTTCGGATCCCTGCTTCGGACCTTCCAGCGGATGCGGAGGCGTCGAAGCGGAATGCGTCGCGTTTTTCGGCGCGGCTCAGGTGTTCATGGGCCGCGTTTCGGCACGCTTGGCCATGGCTGGCGCAGCCTTGGGGCGAAAGGATGTGACGACATGCGAGCCCTGAATGGAAGGGCGGAGGGCGTTCTTGAGGCAATCCCACCCTGAAGTGACCCCAAACACAACATGAACATGTACTGCCAGTTGTTGAAGTCGAGACGTGTTTTTTTTTTCAAAAAAGCAGATAGAAGGTGATGAGCAAACCAGGAAGTCGATACACTATAGCGTGCACAAGACCTACCGCAAGGAAGTTGGCAGGCAACCCATAGGTTGTTTCTAGAGGTTTCTATAGGCAGCCCATAGGTTCCCCTTCATCTTGAAAAAGTGGGTCTCATATGTCCAACCCTCCAAGGGCTTATAGGGCCAACCCTCGGAAGCAGGGTCCTTGTGGAAACCTGGCTTCCGCTGTGAAGCGGGCACACTATTGAGTGGCATGAACTTGTGCCAGATGAGGTGTGCCCTTGGGGGAAAGCTTGATTGGGCTACCTTCGCTGGTGCTGCCGGTCTGCTGCTGGCTTTCTGCTGCTGCTGCCTTGCTGCTGCTGGTTGGCTACTGCTGCTGCTGGCGGTTGGCTGCTGTTGGTTTGCTGCTGGTTGGCTGCTGCTGCCGCTGGCTGATTGCTGCCGGTGCTGCTGCTTGCTGCTTGGTTGCTGCTGGTGCTGCTGCTTGCTGCTTGCTGCTGCTTGTCGCTGCCGCTGCTGCGGCCTGGGCTACAAGGCCTACTCATTTGCTGCCTGTCATTGTCTTGCACGCCCTATGGTTATAGCAGGCTTCTTCCATTGCAGACTGGGCATTGGAAACGTTATATCAAGCTTGGTGGCAGGCCTGTTTGGTGAAACGCAGTGCCCCATGCGGAAACAAGTATCGCAAGGACGTTGCCGTGACTTAGTCGCGGCGTGGTGTCCCAGTTTTTGATTGGTTGCCACAGCTGCATTGCAAGGACTTTTGTGTTTGGGTGTTAGTGGGCATGGGTCTTCTGGGCAAACGTGTTCGTTCATCTCGCCGCAAACCTCGCCCACATCTCTCCCTCTATCTCGCCCAACCCACCAGGCACCAGGACCTCCAGAGGTGTGCGATGGGGATTGCCATTGTCACAACTTCAATTTACATGGGCCCCCAGGCAAGGAGCGATTTGCAGGGTTCATGTTTTCAAGCGTTCATGTTCAAATTTTTCGCAGGTGTGCCATGCGGAAGTGTGTCCTGCACAGCCGTTGAAAGACAGGAACGCGCACACACAGATAACCGTGGTTTTTTCGTGGTCTTAGCATACTTCTGGCAGAGATCGGAAGCCGATGTGCCATGGGGATAATGTGGGATTTGCTCCTGTGATGTGGGATTGGTGAAAACGGTGTGGCATGGGATGATGTGGTTTCTAGCCTCTGCTGGTTGGGTGCTGCTGCTGCTCCTGCTGCTGCTGCGCTGCGCTGTTTTGCTGCTGGTGGTCGGCTGCTGCCAGTTGCTGCTGGTTTGCTGGCACTGGTTGGCTACTATACTGCTGGTTTGCTGCTGCCGGCTTGCTGCTGCTGTTTGGCCGCTGCTGGTTACCTTCTGCTGCTGTTGGATTGTTGGTGTTGTTTTTCTGCTGGTTGGCTGCTGCTTGCTGCTGCCGCTGCCGCTGCCTGCGCTACAAAGCCTACTCATTTGCTGCTGGCTGTTGTTGCACAAACCCTATCATTGTGGCAGTGTCCGGTTGTAAACTGGGCTTGGAAAGCATGGTTTTGGCTTAGATGGCCTGTTTGGTGAAACGCGGTGTCCCATGCGAAAACTAAGTGACTCTGCCGTGACTTAGCCGCGGTGTGGTGTCACTGTGTGATTTGCTTGCCGCAACTGCTTTGCAAGGACTTTCGTGTCTGGGTGGTTACCCTCGAGGTAGGAACTTAAAGGTGGTGCCAACATGTGGGTGAGAATCGGTGTGCCATGGGGGTTGGATCATTTCAGCCCATAGGAAACCTTAGAACCCATCAACGTGTAGAAGATTGAATCGCAATGGAATGGTGTAGGTTTAGAAACAATCTAGGCTAGGAGAAAAAGTGCTTGTTTCGAAGCGGTGTGCCATGGGGATCGGGAGAGGAATACACACAAGAACGCATAGATATTTTTGACGTTTAAAGAACAATTCCATGCTGTTTGCACTCCAGGTAGAAACTTAAAGCTGGTACCAACATGTGGGTCAGAATCGGGGTGCCATGGGGATTGGATCACGGCAACCCATAGATAACCTTTGAAAACATCAACATGTAGAAGGTTGAATCGCAATGGAATAGTGTAGGCTTAGAAACAATCTAGGAGAAAAAGGGATCGTGAGTGAGAAAAAGTGCTTGTTTCGAAGCGGTGTGCAATTTTGTCCAAATGGGGTAAGTTCTTACATTCGTGGGGTAGGCGGTGTGCCATGGGGGTGGGTCAAGTTCATGTGCGATGGGGTAAGTTACCACGTCGGGTAGCTCTCCAAATTGCGTTGCCATTGGGATTTGCAGTTGAAGTTTTCTCTTTTTGGAAAGGTGAATCTGGAGAACCTTGTTCTGTATGTCGCGTTTACAATGGGGAAGGCCAGCAGTCTTGACTTAAGTACTGACTTTTGCAAATCGGCGTGCCATGGTGGTTTAGTATCCCACATGCAAAATGTATTAACTTCAACGGGCAACAGACACAGTCGAGGTGGAATGGCGCTGAGGTTTCAGAGAATTCTTAAGATTCTGAACAGACTTTCTCGACCTGCGGATGGCCCTGCAAATCCATTCCGGTTTCGTTCGCTTGCTGACGCTAGTGAACAAAATTGAGGAGACATCTCCAGGTCCGACTGGGTATGTGTCCCAATAGGGAGGCCCGTGGCATGAGGGAGACTGCAACCCGGTGGGTGGGCACTTCCCGGGCCCAATCGTGTCGCCAAGGAAGAGCTTCAAGAGTTTTGTGACACAGGAGACGCGCGACTGTTACGCTTTATTTGTGCTTGGGCCAAGCAAGTGGGACATTTGTGAGGGAACTAACCCAAACAGACTCGGCAAGGTGCAACAACTGCTCAAATTGCAAGGTCCTGGACGGAGGCAGCAGGAGACGCTTCAACCTCAAGATCTGACTGGAAACGTTGTTGCATTGATTTGCATTGCACTGGGTATGTGAGTTCAAACGAGCAGTGGCTGACGTATCCAATTGAATCCACCCAGCACGTTTGGAAGGCAAATCGCGGCCCAGTTGTCACCGAAATGCACTCCTAGCATCTTTGAATTGCACCATTTCCAAAACACGCCACAACAATATAGTGGCTGAAATTCAAGTAGCAATCAATAGGTTTCGGGCTCCATGCCAGCCAAGGGATTCTTGAAATCAGGAATGAATGCCGGGTACTTTCAGAGGATACCTAAATCAGACACGACCATGCACACTCAGCATTTTGCGCGCTTCCGTCAAGGCCACTTGACTTGACCTACGGGTTTTCAACATGAATGAACACGCCTCCACCAGCTGAAGAGCCGTGTCGGCCATGTCGGTGTTCTCCCCTGTGAGTGACTGGCTCCTCCTCGAGTCCACAGTTCAACTGAAGAAGCCCAACCAATCCTCCAAGCCCACACTGAATCGAGGGGTAGTAATGTAGACTGTTGATGACTGTTGATGTACAAAGCCTCCCAGAAGATGTTCAGCCATTCTGGTGGGGGAGTCGCATGTAGCGTCATCCACCGGTGGTGGACGACCCCCGGATGCACCGATGAGGTAGCGACACGTGCGGGTGCACCGATCCGGCGGCGCCGTCCTGGTTTCGGACACCCGCGTGGGGCTGCTCAGAGCCTTGGCCGATGAATTCCCGGTCCGACTTGAGAGAGGACGACAGGTGGAAAGAGTGGGATGCCTGGAAATAGAACCGCAACATCAGCAACCTGACTTCTGGTCACTGTGTAATGCCCGGCATGTTCATGGACATATCCTCATCGTCAATGTTTAAACTTGTTAATTGTCAACCTCAGTTTGCCTGAAACTGAGGGGGCCCTGGAATGTCTGGTGGGAGAGAAGGTCGACGAACAAGACCAGCAATCATCGGTTGGCCAGTTGGGCACGACCTCTGGAACATGTCATATTTCCTCTTGGAGTATGTGTGACGAGAGTTTTATATATTTACCTGAATTCACCTTTCTCTCCCAACCCAAGGGTCCTTCAGACCGAAGGCAGGATAAGGCAGGAGTCAACATATTGAAGGGAACTTTCCATAAGACTAAAACCATCTGACACCCGCTATATGTACCATTGACATGCATTTGATTTACCAAACTCCTGTAACATCCACCGAAACAGCCACATGCATCGTCTCAAATTCACGGGGCTTTCAGCAATCCCTTGGAACATTGAAGATGGTTTGGGCACAGCCGCCATTCGAAGATGTCTTCCACCCTCCACACGTGGACATGGAGACAGCTGCGGCGGGCTGGAGGACACCTGCACCCAACTGGCCATGGAGAGGATCGGTGATTGCCGAGATGCGCCCATCGATGAGAGATGGCATCAGCTCTATGACAGAGATGGGTGGGAGTAGAGTGTGGAGCTGCACCGTGGTAGTCTTTGGCTGTTTGGGGAATGTACATGCAGGATCTATTCAAGCTAATCTGTGAGTACTAGCACTGGACTAACCGATGTTGACTAATCCTCATAAACTTACGTAGGTGAGTTGAAACAATCTCCACTGTTTCAATCCATAGATGGTTAATGATTTGTATCTTATATTGGTGCTACTTTATTCATCCAGTTCTATCAAAGGTGGATCGTGCCCAAAACAGTTCATTCTTTTGGATTGCAATTTGCAAGCCTGACTGAATTGCATCAGGGCGGATGGTGAATGCGAGAAGAACCACAACTTTCGGACGGAAGACTTTTCAATTGATTCTTTGTGCACAGCTTTTGTGAAGTGAGGGTGCCTCAACATAAATATATAAAGGTCTCACGACGCGTGTCATGCGCATGGAAGGAAAAAGGGAAACGTGTCTATGCACACATGTCAGGCATGTCTAGCCATGATCCGAATCATGTTTTTTTGTTACGCTTGTCGGAGCAGCCTTTTGGGCCCTTGAATTGCCAACGCGCCCATGAACAGCTCTCCCAGGTTCTGGGATGGCTATTTGCCCGCCCTGGAAGCGGTCTATGGTGTTGGCCTCTCTGGCTCCCAGGCCGTGGTCCTACGGGTCGAACAGGCGTGGCCGCCGCCGGTGCCGGGAAAGCCATCGCCGATCGCCGTGGTTTTTTGAAAAGGATCACGTAGGGTTTCCAGATGACCAGTGAGGAACAAAAAACAATGCCAAACACTTGACACACATCTTATGACCCGCGCGCCAAGTGGGTCTGCAAAACTCCCCCACCCAAGAAGCAATGCTTGACAGCAAAGACTCTGTGGTTGGGGAGGTGCCCTTGGTTTGCGGTGCCCTTTCGACACGAGTTTGTGCTCTACTGGAGGTGCTTAGAGCCATGAAAGCTGGAGGATGTCCCACTTTGAAGGACCCCCAGTTGGGCTTTGAGGTGCGGCCGCGTGCGCTCGTGCCGCTCGTGCTTTTGACGAACGCATCGTGGTTGACCGCGCGCTTTGCGCTGGAAGAAAAGAAAACCCCGCCAAGTGGCCAAGTGCTGGGGCAGATTGGAGCGAGTGAAAGAGAGAGTCTAAGAGAGACAGTGGCACTTCTCCAAAAATCCAGGAGGAACATGATGGACCCTGACCCCGAAAAGGTCCCCTTCATCGCATGGCGTGGCGCTTTGAACGGTCGAAAGCACGGTGGGAAAGCACCGTGTGGCCCTGGGAGACCCTAGGTGAGGCCCTGAACGATGGGGTTTGGCAAAAGCATGTGTAATCATCCTACTTGCTCCTAGTAGTACGGCCAGGAGCCCCTAATGGCGTCCTTGCTCCTAGTAGCGATGCTAGTAGCTTCTTGTTACGATAATGTACAAAAGTAATCATGGTAAGCCGTGTGTATTTGAGAACTTTCTCAACCTCAGCCGTGCCAGATTGGAGGGCAGAGCTCCTTGGATGCAGCACCACTGGTGTCGGTGTGAATAGCGATTTGGGCCTGTCAACTTGGCATTCACTGGCCAACATCAACCTATAAGCCATTGGTTTTCTTGGATTGGGTGTTTTGCTTGCTGGTTTGCTGGGTTGTTTGGTTTAGATACAGGTGTGGGTTTAGACATGTTGCGTTGGTTGGGCAGTAGATGCTAGTAGGCTGTGCCTGCCCGGGTTGGCTTGTGTGGTTGGTTAGCATCAATATTGAATTACAAGAATCACAAGCATTGAAAGAGCTGAGTATTGCATCATTTGTGCGAGTCTATCCCACAGTGGCCGACCCCCTTTTTGTTAACGACCGCTGCTGTGTTGCAGAATCAACGTACCAGGTTTCTCAGCTGAGTTGTTACCCAATGTGAACACACACACACACACGGATATGTATGTATATGTATTTGTATTTATATATACATGTATATGTACACACAACTATACAGTAACTACAACAATTGCTGTAGATACAGTAAATACACTGTCCCGTCTCTTTTCGATCGGGATCCTGAACTCATTGCTTCCAATTCTGTCCATGTCCCGGGGGAAAACTGGGACACGCCGTGACGCTTGTCTGAGGAAGTTGGTGTCAGGGTGACCCGGACCTCTACCGGCCCTTGGCCTGGAAATGCACCTGGGCGACTGTGCAACACCAGATCGAGTTGTCAACTAGTCGATGTTCCTGCATTCCTTTATGATTTGCATATCTTTCCTGTGTATTGCTGCATAAGTCTGGGGTCTAGCCTATACACACCTGGGAACAGATTACATTGATCTCGAGTGCAAACGGCCTGAAAGGGAGTTGGGTAGTTTGTAGTCCCAAAGACGCGGGAAAAGAAGAAACTTGGGGAAAGAAGGCCGCGAAAAAGCAGATTCTTTCTGATGGAGAAGTCAGAAGTCATGGGTATATATATATATATATAACCTGTTTTTACTCAGACCGGATGTGCCTCTTCTGTGCATGTCTGACTTACTTTGCTCCAAACACGTCAGAAGCCGACCGCGAGTCGACCGACTGGGGGACCAGGTCCCGAGACCTGCGGCTGCTTAGCGGCGAACCCTCCAAGCTACTGCCCGGTCTGCAGCAACTCCGCGGGGTGAGATTGCTGAGATCAGCGGAGGCGGAAGATTTGGACAGGTGGAGCTCCTGGTCTGGTCTTCAACGCGGGTGACAAAAGAATACAAAAGCATCGGCTTGAAATAGAGAGGCTGAATCGATAGGCGTTCAAGATGTTGCCTGGTCCAATCATGTCGTTTGGGTCAGTGAGGCAGCGGACCATCATACGGACCCCTCTCCCAGGGAGCAGCTCTTCATCACTTTTCTTCATGTTGCCAGGGATGGATGCAGCTTGGATGCTGGACACCGGAGACCTGCTGGTGGCAAGCAGTTGCTGCTGCCTCAAATGGACCCGTGAGCCTTTTTTAAGTGCATCCTGAACAGTTGATCTTGAGCACCTTATGTTAATGCTGATCAAGTATCATTGTCCTACTTCTCAAACAGAGGTGGGCGACAAAAACTAATGCCTCCACCATCCTGAAACTCAGATGGTGAATTTCCGATTTGCAGGTTTTCTGCTCGGATGTGCTTGAGAGAAACTCGCAGCTTGTGGTGTGAGGGTTGGGGGAGTCAGCGGTCGCCAAAGCAGAGACCTTACTGTTCATCCAAGCCCAGCCAGAACTCCGTTGAATTTGATTGAATCAGACAAATGTCGGAAAACTCAAGTTCTGCCCCACACTCGGCTTTCCCAGTGGTGCCACCTAGAAGTGAGCATGGGCATAGCGGCATAGCTCTAGCTAAGTCTCCACCTAAGTCCTAGAAGGGCCGGATGCAGACCTGATTTGGTGCATCCTGGTGTTTTCACGACTTGGCCAAGGTATGGCATGGCGCTGTGTACCACGTGTGGGTGTATAGTATGCGATGTTTGTTTAGGGTTCTTCTGCACAATCATTTTGGATGTCATGAGTTTTGATTGCACACTCGCTAAGACTAGGGGGTGTTAAATCGTACTTCAAAGGTCACACACACACATGCACATGCACATGCACCCAAATCACACAACAAATAGCACAAGAATCTGTTTCACCTGACTTGGCTTTTGGAGGTGAGAAGAGAGCTGGCTGCATTGGAAGAGACTTGCCAGAGCTGCCATGTTTCACTGCTAAGGTTGACCAAGTGTTGGTCTTTCCTCGTCTATGATACCGAATAGCCTCTCCAACATATTTCGAGACAAAGGTTATGAATCCGCCTTGTAAAGGATGTATTGGACATCGGTAGGGGCCGTTTCTACCTGTTTTGGAGGCTTTCTGCTGGACTTACTTTCGTGCCAGGGGCTGTCCGTCTTGAGGATGTTCGGAGCTCGCAGGGTGCGGGGTTCTGCCCGGGTGGTGCATTCTCGAGGAGGATGATCGGACGGCGATGGGGGAAATTGAAGGGGGTTTAACACACACCGAGTCCGAGCTTTGCTAGGTTGAAGGTTTGTCGTGGTTCTTTTGGGGTTCAACCTGTGAGTTCCATGAAATCTTGCAGAACGGCGATCATCACATATCATAATCAAAGACCACTCCTCATAGCCTGTGGAAAGAGATTCCATCACCATCCCCCTCTTTGCCTCTCCGAAGCCTCAACCAAGCAACAATGGAAACCAAACGCAACATAACGCAACCCCTTTTGTAGAGGAACAGTGGCACCCCGAAAGGTTGGCTTGCAAGGTGGAGCATGTGGAGAACCACCATAGGTCCTGAAAATGGACCTCTGCGAGAGGCATGTTCTACGAATTAACGCCGCTTTCGGGTTCTTTGTCAGTGCCAGAGGGAAACACTTCTTGGCACTATCCTACCATTGCCCCACTTAGTGGAGCAGTGTTCCGACCTTCCGCAGATAGCTTGAAGATGGCAATCCTGAAGGACTTCGATCAGGCGTGGTTTTCCACGACTCTGAGGGGTGACCGTGTCAAACAAGGTCAACCGCACGTCCATGCTGGCCTGTCGGTGCAGGTCCGTGCGAGACATACCCACACAATGGCTTGAATGCTCCTAGAACGCTACTAGTATATAACAAGAACGCTACTGAACACACATTTTCAAACATTCTTCAATCGTGTCTACAATAGCTTAGGCTTTATGTATTTAAACTGGATATACACATCATACGGCACACCATTCAGTACAGAGACGCACCTTTTGTTGTTCACGAATGTTCACGAACAGTGGTGGATTGACAGGTGGAGAAACCCACCAAAAGGGTGGTGGAGACATGTGGGAACCAACCACAACGGGGGTACCGTTTGGCCGTTTTTCCACCGGGTGACGAGGCCAAACCTTGGCACTCGGAGATCTCGCTGCTGCACCAAGAGCTGTCCCAACAGATCCAGGCCCTGACAGCTTCGGGGGAAACCATGGGAGCATATGGATCAGATGGGAGTCACCCAAATCCAGCAATTGCCACTTAAGAATCCTGCCAAAGGCAGTATTTCCAGGCCCCAGCCTCATGCAGGAATAGTCATTTGAGCTTCGTTGGGGGTCTTTGAGCTTCTAATAGTTCCTCTGCTCAGCCATCAGGTATATCCGTTTGATCCGGCTAAAGCAGCAACTAACACGGAGCGCACTGTGCCTATATATTATATCTATCTATCTATCTATCTATCTATCTATCTATCTATCTATCTATATAGAATATTATATATATATATAATCAAAAAGGGGCAGCTATAGCCTACTTTTTGAGCCTGCGGGCCAATCCAATCTATTCCGGGCGCCCAACGCATTTTGCGAGAGGAGTCTAACGCAGAGCATTCGAAGAACATCGTGGCCTGCCAGGGGCGCTTGAGCTCCGCACGTGCGCATGCCCAGATCGAATGCAGTTGAATGGTGGTGTCAGTGGTGTCATCTGACCGTTTATGTATCCTAATTGTCGTTTGTGTCCTAATTGCATATTTGAATATTTGTCATTTGTGCCCAGGCCTGGACACGCATGACAAGATGCAAGCGATCGAAGAGAGGCGCACCCCCGCCTTTGGCCTGGATGGATCAAGGGCCCCCCTGGTCGGCCCCAAATCCACCGAAAGGCAGACTTGGTTTGTCTACCTTCAAAGCCTCCTGTAGACTCAACTCTTCGCCATGGAAGCACCTGACAACTTGGTCTTGAGAGGGGAAGGCATGGTTCCTCAAAGCACCCCTATCCTGAAGGAGCAATCCTGATAGACGGGGGAGCCCCAAAAGCAAGATGCTTTTTGAGAAAGGCCTTGAAAAGCTCTTCCGAGAAATTGAAGCATAATATTAGACTCACTAGACATGGACTAAATGGACTGGACTTGTACATCCCAATCACCCAATTGTTCAGGGGATATGCAAAGGGTCCTTGTGAAACCAAGTTCCTGCAGGTTGGCACATGCTGGGTCCTCAGCACGAACTTTGGAGATGCAGGTCAATGCAAATGGCATCAATAGAAACCTACAAGTGTCTACATTCACAGAAATCTGGCGTTCTGCCGAGGCGGAAAAGCGCGCCACCGAGGCCAAGGACGCCTGGTGGCCGGGCATCCCCAGACGCGTGGGGGAACGTCGTGGGGGCATGGGGTGGGTTTTGGATCCCCGGTCTTTCGGTTCCAAACCAAAGACCACTGGTTTGGTCTGTTGAGGGATGTTGATGGCAGCCTTGCTTCGTGTCCGGGTCAATGGGTCAATGGTCAATGGGTCGCTACGCGACTCTGTGTGGCATCTGGAAGATGGTCGCTCGACAAGTGAACATGAGCTTTCCTTGATCAAGTCACAAGCTGACATGTCTTTGAATTCGCACGGGCATGTGTCGCCCAGATGAATTTCAACCGAACTCTCTTTCATTCTTTTTTGACCTGCAGCCGAGTCTCGACCTGGTTGAAATCCACCGTTCCCACTTGGTCACTTGGTCAACTGATTCGGGTAAACATGTGTGGCCGTTTTTGCGAGTTGTATGCAGGGAAGCTGGGAAGTACGGGAAGTTGTACTTGTGGTGTTGCCCTTCCTCCAACCAATCATGCAAGTGGACAATGACCTCTTGAACATCTATTTTCCTCTGCCTACAGGTGGTTTTCAGGCATGAAGGGAGGGCATCCAAAACACCCGACCAATCGAATTTCAAAGCCTAGATTATCAAGGTATTCGATTTTCGGGCTCTCGTTGCCTGAGAAAACAGGCAGGGCGAGCCCGCATTGAGACAAGTGCAAACGGCTCTGAAAGAAGCCGCTTGGTCGAGAGGGAGTTTGTATACATTGTAGGGGGGTAGGAGTTTGAGAATCCCGATCGGATGCGATCTGAACATTTCAGGCAAGCAAACTTTCTGTAGAGTCGAAACAAGACTCATCGGAGAACATCATCAGGTTTTCCTTTTCCCAAAGAGTAATCGCAAAATTGATTGGAGAATATCGGAGATTTCATCGGAGTTCCATTCTTTTCTTAGGATCTATATCAGATGCAAACGAGGGGTCCTGGATTCTATAGAGAAACCATGAGAAACTACTTTCTAGCATGCACTTTTTGACAAGTGCCCTGGCAACCTGGAACCTTGATTCTATAGAGGGTTTGATTTTTCGGTGTGCTTTATTTTGAACCTGGGGACGTTGATTCTCGGGTACCTACCCAAAATTGGCAAGAGGAAAAAATTTAACAGAAAAGACACAGAGGCGGGGGAGTGTCAAAGTCGTAGCAGTGTTGGGGCTTGGAATTTGAGACAGGACTTCTTCTCAAAGACCCTTTCCGGAAGACTTGGACACATGGCTTCATGTCTTTTTCATGTCTTTTTTCGGCGAGCGAGGTTAGTTGAGGAACAAGTTGGGCCGTTGGGCCACCCCAGTGGAACACAACCATGTCACCCGCAAGCCCGTTGGATCTTGGGAGTTGAGCGTGTTCATGTGCAACCAAGTCTTATGTAGACTCTTGATGAATAAGGATTCTAAAACCCACCCATTTGGATGCACGGACTCGCGGACGGTGATCGACGCGCCCCCACTCAATCCCTTGCTGGGTTTCCAGCGGGTACTGGTGGGTGTGAGACGTCTCATGCCAAAGTAGATACAAAAACAGACATGTTAAAAGAATCGTGCTACGGAACCAGGCATCTACGAACGAAACAGCGCATGGCTCGAGGTCTCTAAATTCCTAATTACGACCGGGCTGCACTCTGGCTATTTGACTACGGGTCATGGGTGGCTGCATCTAATTCAGGAGGCATCAGGGTGTTTTATGGTATCGAATGGTTTGCCCCGAAAAATGGCATAGCGTACATGTTGGATGAAGGCATCCTGTTTGTCTTTTGAGACTTCCGGTAAATTCGGCGGCTGGCATTGTGGAGTATTAGTTAAAAGAGCCAATGGCAGAATCTCCGTGTGATATGGTGGATCATGTGGCATGGCATTTAGCATCTGTGCGATATACTGATATGTCACATCCGAGTTGGGCAATGCCGGGCGTCTGGACACGCCACCTTCATGATAGGATGTAAATCCTAAACGTGTTAAACTTGTAGTACCCTGCTTTTTGTAAACAGGGATGTACTTTTGGCGTGAGAAGGTTTGGATATGTTTAACTATCCACCGAAAATTTTCTGCCAGGACTCTTAGTGATTTTGTCTTTACTGGGAGCAAAGCAACTTGTGGGTCGTCATATTGCATGGTGTGATATCCTTTATCTTTTTTTAAATACGGATAGGTAGGAACTTGTTGGACCAGTGCATAAACGAAATTGCTAACTCGGTCCATGAGATGCCCGGATCACCTGGCGCTGTCGTGGTGCTGGGGTCGGGCCAAACAAGAGCTGAGCAATACTTCCACACCATATATGTGAGATTAGCACCCCAGGTGCTACACCAAAAAACTACTTTATGTGGCTCAGTCGGCATGGCATATGGTTGTGCGTGGACTTGCCACTGTCTAAGCTTGTCTAGCTGTGTCGATTGGGGGTTAGGAGGCGTGGAACGGTTCGAGTCTCCTGTGGTAGTTGTGCTCGTTGGCTTTGGTGTTGTTTCCATTCTTGTATAGGCGATATCAAGTAGGTAATTGTAAATCTAGAGGAAAAGCTTCTGGTTCGTCTGCCAATGATTGTGAATGTCGGTGCACAATTGTTCAAACTCTGGGTCATCTGTATGGCGTATGGCTGCTGCTGTGCGGTCGGCTAAGTCATTGCCTTTTATGTGCCATGCTTCTGCTTGATTACGTGCTGTACTAATATCCTGATGGGATGCAATCTTAAAGATCTGAAATCTAGCAGAGTCCCAAAGGATTGCCAGTCTTTTTACCAGGTCCCAATGGGCACATTTATGCGGTGTCTGCTTGTATGTATCTTGGTTTATATTTTGTACTTGAGAAATCACAAATTGGGAATCTGTCACAAATGTAACTGGCATTGATCCTGGACAGCACAGAATCTGTTCAACTGCCACAAGGAGGGCAAACAATTCTGATCTATTAATTGTCTGCGGGCTAGGGCAGTGACCTGCTGCAATGACGCGGAAAATATGTTGAGCTTGGTTGATCGAATGGGGTATTCGAATTACAGCAGCCCATGCTGCTCGTGCTGTATAGGGATTGCGTGTATTATCACACGTGCCATCTGTGTAGATTGTTGCTTCTGTCACAATCTCTGGGATAGGATTGGTTACAATTGTTGTAGATCGCAGGTGCATTGCTTGTCTAGCCAACTGCACATCTGGGTGGTGACTTGGTAAGGGAAACCAACACAGGTGCCTATGTTTTTGAACATGTTGTACGGCCTCCTTGTGCTTGTCACGTATTGAGCTAAAGAAATGACACTCGAGCAATTGATGCGTATGAGTGTCACACTGGCCGCACCAGGGGCATGCTGGGTCCTGTGTGGCGGACCAGTTGGCTATGCATCCCAGGGACTGCCACCCTGATGTAATACTTATAGACAAGATTCGGCGTTGGCGGTCGGTTAGTTGGCGTAAAACACGAATGGCTGTGAGTGAACTGAAGGGTTGTTCTGGTATTCCTTTTCTGTGTTGTACTTCTGTATGGCAGTACCAGTCCCAGGCGATTCGGAGTTGTAATCGTATCTGCTTTGTTGATGTACTTGGAATATGAAACCGAAGGCCTCCTGGTCCTAACAAGGTAGCGTTTGCGGTCAGCTCCCACCCGACTTTCCGTAAGTAAGCTGCCAATGCACTTGCCGGACCACGGACCGGACCGGTAAAATTACGAACTGTAGTGACAATTTGTGTGGCGAGTGACGGGTAATATGCAAAGAGACGACGAAGCGTTGTCAGCATGTCGGACAGGATGTAAAGCAACGGGTCCTGGACCCGATTGGTTAGGTAGTGAAGTGCTATATGGCTTGACGCATGCTTGTGCTCACCTACTAACACGTTCGTCGCCGCCCTGCGCAGGGTGGCAAAATGTCGATCTCCAATTATTAAACCTAGGGCACCATAAAAGACTGCAGGCCAGACTGCAACTTGGATCATCTCCGCCCGATCATCTAAGGCAAGATTAAGGCGTCTGACTCGGTTACATTTGGCTACTGCATTGTCAATTTTGTCCCTGAGCGGTCCAAGAACAACTCTATCTGTATATGAAATGGTACATCCTAAATCGTGTACCTGGCTTTTGATGGGGAACTTGAAATCGGGTGCCATGAGCAAAAGCGAGGCTGCTGTCCAAAATTCTCGGAACGTCTTTGTGGTGCCCCAACACCAGGATTTAGAGAAATCGATTCGCATTCGCAAGTCGTGAATCAGGTTTAAAATTAGCTGAAGTGATCGAAAACATTGTTGTTCGGAGGTTGACATGAATGACCAATTATCGGCATAGGTGTACGGGAAGACTTTAGGTGACTTCAGCTTGGTATGGTAGATAAAACTTAAGGCCAACATGCCAACCACTGACATCGAGTCTCCTTCTGGCAAACCAGTCGTGGATGGGGATGGTTCACTCATCTTGCGGCCGTTTTGTAGGACTCGTGTTAATCTTGTCAATGACAAAAACCAACAATCACACACTTTGGGTGGGATGCCTAGAATCTGAAACACGTAACGGACCACTCTTCGAGGAATGAGGTTAAAGGCCTTGACTAGGTCCATTGTCCATCCCCCCCAGGCTGTGTGGTGCGTCTTTGCATGTTCAATCTGCAATTGTTGCATAATCACCAGATCCCTGGCCGATCTTTGTGGCAACCCGCCACTGATTTCGGATGGCCAAGATTGAGCCCACTGTTGTAAGATTTGGTCTGAAATCATCTTTGATGCGAGTCTTGCCAAATAGCCTAGGATGGTTATGGGTCTGCCATCTGATATTGAGTTTGGATTTTCTCTTTTAGCGAAAAGTAATGTTCTGGCCTGCATTTGGCGAGCTGTCAGGCCATGGTGCCATATCGCCCCAAAAAGGGCAGCTAGATTCTAAAACCTCTTCATGTTGGTTTGAGTCACCGAGTCTACGTGAGTGACTTGCGTCCATCGGAGTCCAGCTGTCCAGCCCGAGGTGGCGGAGCTCCGTGACTTCACCATGGACCAGCCGGTGTTCTCAGACAACCGTGGAAAGGATTGAACGTTTCTTTTGGCAGTGTTTTTCAATGTTTTTTTTCATCATGGTTTTCTTATTCATACCTATTGCTGGAAATCTGACCATCTGACGGTAGTTGCTGGTTTAGAGCCCAGAACTCAAAATTGACCAAATGGCAGAAAATCCGCTTACTAGACATTTCAAGGTCACTCTAGCTTTCAATGTCTTGATGCTTTTTATTTCATGAAGAAATATATCCGTTGGTTCTTGTTTTTGGCCCTGTGGCCATTGGCCATGAGCCATGGTTCTCCATGGTTCATAGCTTTGGCTTGAAGGAATGAGACGTACTGGACTCCCGTGAATCGGATCTATATACCCAGACGCTTCACAGACCATGCTTCGGCCTCCAACCTACTTGCGATGGCCTCCACTTAATAGCGTCCTTGTTCCTAGTTATATATATATATATAATTTTTGAATCTCTTGAGAGTTTGCGTCATGTGCACTTGTGGGTTTGGCAGGTCCAGCAAGCTTCAGAACAGCGTGCAGACGGAGCTGGGTAATTTGGCCCAGGAGCGTTTTGGGAGGGACTCATGCTCACTTAGGGTTGGATGTTGGCCAGGGCAGATCCCACACACACATTTTCCACGAAACTATTCTGTACATGTTTCGGTGTGTATTTGGAAGGCAGTTGAAGCTTCGAACTGGTGGTCACAAAACAGGAGCTTGAGAAGTGCCTTTCAGGACCGGTGTTTCTTCGATGCTGAACGAGCACCAAAAAATAAGAACAAAACTGTGCAGGTTCAGACGGACTGCGAGGCTGTGCGGGAGTTTTGCCGCCAGCAGACGCAGAAGGCTCGGAGCCAACGGGTGTATCAGATGACGGCAACGCCCCGGTCGGGCTACCCGTAGCCGCAGTCATTCTTCTGGATGTGAGGTGCATCTCACGTTTCTTTTGTAAAATGCATCCCTTTGGTATATACTATATACACATATACACTCTTAGACCCTTAGCCTTAGCCCCTGTAATTCACAAGGGGGGTTGACGACAGATTACCTGTCCCCGAAAAAAGAACTTCCTAATCGCACGCCACCTCGGACCCCAATGACGCGTTTGTCACTGTGGCTGGCGGCGTCGGTTTCATTCGCGTTCTGGGCTTTGGTGGGTCCAAGGCCTCCACCATCAATATGAAATCGAAGATGCACCTCGAGTCGCACTGTGCAATTACCTTTAACATCCTTGAACTCTAGAATTTTAAACATTGATGTTGATCCCTTGCACCTCTCTTGACAACAAGTTCACGACGGCAGCGTGCAGCGTGGGGTTTTCCACTCGACTTCGCGTGGGGGTACTACTAGTAAGGCACTTGTTTCTAATAGCTTTTTTGTTACTACTAGTAAGGCACCTGTTACTAGTAGCGTGGCACCTGTT